ATGTAATCCCTGAATAAAGGTACACTACAAAAAAATTGAACATTAAGCTTTGCTTACGGGAAACATAGCATATGTGTTTAGGGTTTTAGATTGTCAGAAAGGAATATTTGTAATGCATTCCCCTGTGCGCTTCTTGCAGTGTTTCACATACAAAAAGTATATTTAATAAAAAATTAACAAAATTGAAAAATTATTCAAAATCTCTGCTCTAAGGCATTCCTTGCAGACCAAATGACTAAAAAAAAACTCACTGCCTCCTAACTCAGGTAGTCTATAAGGAATGGAGAGAGCGTCTCGTGCTGCAGGTAAGGCTTCTGGTGAGCCATAAAATTATCTGTATGGTAGAAACCAGAACTTGTTCCTTGCATACATCCTTCAGATTAAGTACTGCCTTGAACTACTTAAAATCTGGTTCTTGTCAGATAAAAGTATAACTAATTTCCCTTAAATTCCCTTGTGCTTAACTGAAATAAACCCTCCTCTCCTTCAGATGAAAGAAAACAATGCCTATGAAGACTCCTGGAATGTATGATATAATTTTGGCCTAGGCCAGAAACCTTGAAGCAACTGAAGAAGTATAAAAAAAAGTTTAAAATAAGTAAATACAATATACCTTTCTATCTATTTACTAATTCTAGCAGCATAAGGATTGATAGTAGGTAATGCTGATTGGGAGAATTTAGTTCCACTTTAATCTTCAGAACTTTATTAACCTCCTCGGCGGTATGATTCTTTCTGATTTTTTGTGCTGAAAGCGGTACAAATATGTAGTTTTTTTATTGTAGGCTGTAATTTTTAGGAATAACTCACTGAAATCTGTACGAACAAGAGTCTATTAAACATCCCGGGTATGATAAAACTTGAAACACGAAATCATAAATTAAAATTTAATAAATAATCATAAAAAATAATATTATAATAATAATAAATTTAATTCAATAATATAATCAAACCAAAAACACTGAAATTTGAAATACAGAGGCAAATTCGCACATCGCTGAGCAAAGTCGCAAAATCGTTTTCAGTGTCTGATGACGAATTTCCCCACGAATCATTATCACGCAATTCTGCAAGTGGTTCTGATTTACTATCGCTGTTCTAAAACCCGCTTTTGACGTAAAGGGACGCTTTTTGGACGCCATGGACTTTTCTAAGTTTCCAGGCAGAAAGAACAGTCAAAATGCAGGCAGGGCGCAGGACAAAGCAGTAGGGACACAATATATGTGAAATGCATTGAAACAGCAATGACAGCACAAATGACATTTTTAAAAAATTTCAAATTTGCCGCCGGTTCCGGCACCCGTGCGTCCCGACGTTACAGAGACCGGAACACGGAAGCCGGATCCTGGCATCGGCCGGAAGAGATGGCCAGGGACACTGCAGGGGACACATCGCGGGAGCGAAGGACAAGTGCTGCAGGGACCCCCTGAGCAACGCTGCATGGTAAGCCCGAGTGTAGCTCAGGGTTACCGCTCTTGGTACTCAAATTTTACCCCGAGCTACACTCGGGAAAACCGCTAAGGAGGTTAAATATGGCCTTACTAATTCGAGAATAACATTATTTTCTATATAGAAGCAGGACATATTTTTTGTATATGTAAATGCAGAAATGCAGAGCTAAGAAAAATATTAAAGTGAAAAAATATATGGGTGCAGGTGCTAAAGAGCACTATGAGTGATACAATATAGTGGTATCGTCTAATTATGACGTATTAGTATGGTGAACACAAACATAAAGTGAACAAATAAAGTGACTTTCGGTGATCCATATATGACACAATAAAGTGGCTAACGCAGAAGGAGAGCACCAGTACGAGATTCTCTCTCTGGCTCATTATTTAATGAGCCCCTAAGGTGGAGTCCCGCAACATACCCACTATATGCCCAGCATTGGTCTTTAATATCAGACGTGACGCCCCTGGAACCTGTGAGTGAGGTCTGCTGATTACCTGACGTGCTGACGTGTGCCAAATGATTCATAACAACCACATCCAGATGACCATGACGGGATTTATATACACAAATGCGCTTTTATATTGTGCTTCTGGTTAGTGCAATATTATACAAAAGCTTCCAGCCACCGAGTCACTGATTTCACCAATATTTGTTTTTTGCATTTGGACTTTATTGTGTTATATATGGATCACTGAAAGTCACTTTATTTGTTCACTTTATGTTTGTGTTCACCATACTAATATGTCATAATTAGACGATACCACTATATTGTATCACTCATAGCGCTCTTTAGCTCCTGCACCCATATATTTTTCACTTTAATATTTTTCTTAGCGCTGCATCTCTGCATTACATATTTACTTAAAGGGTCAGAGGTTTCACCTTCATGCAAGCGGCTTGTTACCTAGCGCTCGTATTTGTATCCTTTTATCATATTTTTTTTTATTATGCTTTTGGAACTATATATTCAAATACACAGCACACACAAAAAAATTCCCAGAAAAGTAATCCACCTTCACCCTTGAAGGTTAATCAAAATTGTATATAAAGACTTTTCTTTTAAACAAAAATCACATAAATGTCCCAAATATCCCAATACTTGCTTTGGAGTGTCTCACAAGTATTGCATGGTGCACTGTAAGGGGCACGTGTGTATTTATTACCAAAAAGGTATGACACTATGTTAAGTTTGTTCTTTTTGAGGTATATTGGCATCAGAATTTGTGGGTGTTGAGAAAAAGATTTTTCGTTGAAAAGAAGAAAAAAAGAGACTTTATTGAACATTTGTTTACATAAGTGGGGTTTGTTTTTGATATTTGGGACATTTATGTGATTTTTGTTTAAAAGAAAAGTCTTTATATACAATTATGCTTTTGGAACTATTTCATCTTAATGAGTTGTTTCATTTTCTATGAATGTATAAAAAATTTTAAAATATAGAAAAAGTAATTTTTTTGTACTGAAAATGTTAAAATAAGTAGTGCTGTAAAAACAGCTACTACATAAAGTTTTATTTTTATTGTGCCATTTGTCCCTTTTACCATTACACATACTGTATGTTTCTGGTGCGAAGCATGGGAAAGTTATTTAGAAAATGAAACTGTTTTTTTTTAAGATTGCATAGTTCTAAATTACACAGTAATTCAGGCTACAAAAAAATACATGTGTCTAACAAGTTCCAGTAAAAAAAAAAAAAAAATCTTCAGAATGTTAAATCTTTAACTTATCCAGAGCTAGTCAAGTTTGCTTCAAGAAATGAAAAAATCTTCCTTATGCCCAGATACCTCAGCATTCTACATTGTTATTGTTTATTAATAATAGCGGTTTGAGCATTTCGAAAGCTAATTTTTATACCATCTACTAAATTGGTAAAATCAGCTTCTGGGGAAGACTATTTCATATTTTCATAGGAAGAAATCTTTCTATGGGCAAAAGCAAACCTCCGTTCCAGCTGTAATAAAAAGTGCCCTCATGTTTATTGCTGTGACCTTTAAAGCGAACAGCTACTTTATAGACCATTTATGTATTTAAACATGGGAATAATATCCTTTCCCTAATAGCCTCTTACCAAAGGTTAATACATTCAGTTCAGCAACTTTCACCGCAGCTCATACTTTAGGTCCTGCTTCACCCTTATTGATTTGGTTGCCCTTCTCTTCCAGTTCCACAAAACATTTTTGGAAATTAAAATTTCCAAATAGAGCTGAGCTCAGAAAATACCTAAAGCACCTTGGAGTTGATTTAATAAAGGCAAATAGGCTGTTCACTTTACAAAGGAATTTTAATTTTTGCAAGAGAAGTTGCCCTTAGCTCAGTGATTGTGGTGAAAATTAATTTTGCAAATACCCAATCACGTGCAAGAAAAATGTAAAATAAACTGTAATTTTGCTCACACATCATTGGGTGATGGAAGTTAGCAGAACTTTTCATGTAGTAAGCTAAGGAAAGATTCCCTTGCAGAGCAAACATTTTCTTGCCAAATAAACTGTCTATTTGCTTTTAGTAACTCAACCTCTATAAATCCTATCCAAATTGTGTAAAGAAAAACATATAAATAAAAAAATTAATTATAAATGAGCTTCAATAAAACAAAGCAAAGTCTGCCATTATGTTTGAGCTCCCATCAGAACCCCCTCCTCATCAGAGTCTGCCTTAGGACTCCCCCTTACATTAGAATCTCCATCGGAGCCCCCCTCTTACATCAAGGTCCCCATCAGAGCCCCTCCTTACATCAGAATCTACTTCAGTTTAGGAGTCCCACTTTACATCAGAGTCTCCCCATACCTTAGGGTCCCCATCAAAGTACACCCTTACATCAGGATCCCAAAAGAGCTCCCCTTACATAAGAGTCTTACTTGGAAGTCTGCATGTACATCTCAGCACCCCCTTACTTCAGAGTCCCTGTTAGTGCACCCCTTATATCAGGATCCTCAACAGAGTCCCACCTTATATCAGGTTCCCTCTTGGAGCTCACCTTACATCAGTCTCCCCATCAGTAGTTGGCAAAGCAGGAGGCAGAGTAGGTATGGATGTTGGAAGTTTCCTCTTCCTGTTGGGACAAGCATTATCACTTGCTAGGATGCTGGTGATCCTAGTAACCAACTAGGAAAAAGGAAGCACATAACGGGGAACCTGACTCTAGCTGTAGGCCAGGTGCAATCCTGGAGCAGACTGAATTTGGCCTGCAAGCTGTAGTTTGATGACCCCTAGCTTTAATAATCAACATGTACTGAACATTATGCTATATCTATACAAATCAATGAAAAATGACAATATGTAAAAATTGCAAACATTTCAAGTATAAAATTATTTTTTTCTTTAGCACGAATGTATGTTGCACTTTTCCCTGTGTAGCCAGGTGCTCAGATGATGGGAAGAGAGCAACTGCTGGATGCTGCAGCCACCTTGCATGCCTGAGCAGGATTCCTATGCTGATTTCAGCTCCGTTTAGCCTCCACTCACCAGGGGGAACCGAAAGGACATGAGGAACTGAAAGACTCAATGCAGGTCTCACTGAGCTGTCTCTGAGAAGGACTTTGTCATGGGCAGGGGCGGGCTGACCATTTGGAAACTCGGGCACTGTTCGAAGGCCCGGGGTCAGTAGGGGGCCCCATGAGATGCCCCTGGTACCTTTTTCATAGGCTTTTTTGAGTTTGGGCAAGGACAGAGGGGCCCCATGATCCCCTAATGTCTGGGCCCCATGAGTTGTCAGTCCACCCCTGGTCATGGGAATGAATGGGGGACTGACTACAATTCCCAAAGAAAGAGGGGCATGTAGGGGGAGGAGAGAAGCAAGTTTTTCCAGGCTTTCAGAAATTAAGAGATCTTTTGCTGTGTAGTGGTCAAAGAAGTGTGCGCCTCTGTCCTGTGTGAAGACTGAACTGCAGACTGGAGTGCCCTGAGAGCAGAGCCAGAGGGATTGCAGATGGGTGAGTAAACAGACCAAGGTCTGCTTTGAACGGCTGCTGTTTTGATTTTAGTGCTGCTAGCAGATCAGGAAAGAGGGAGACTGCCTATCTAGCTAGTAGTTTAAAAATCATTGTATGCAGATTTTAAAGGGATGGTACATATGTGCACCAGCTTAAAGACTGGGCCCATCGATTAGCTGGCTAAAGGTTGTAGGTCAGGAGGCAAATATTCACCAACTGCTTCGCAGGGGCACTGAACTAGTTAACTAGAGTTACTAGTAGCAATGGGCAGTTCTCTCAGGATTTACAATCATTTTTATATATATATATATATATATATATATATATATATATATATATATATATACACAGTCATGGCCAAAAAATATTGGCACTCCTGCATTTCTTTCAGATAATATACCACTTTGCCCCAAAAATTGTTGCAATTACAAATATTTAGGCATTCTTATGTTTATTTATTTTGTTTCTATTGGTATGATATAAAAAAAGTGAAGAAAACAAAAGCCACATCTGACACATTCCACCAAAACCCCAAAAATTGACTGGACAAAATTATTGGTACCCTCAATTTAATATTTGGTAGTACACCCCTTGAAACAAAAAACCTGAAATCAATTGCTTCTTGTAACCATCAATGAGTTTCTTACACCTCTCTACTGAAATTTTGGACCACTCTTCTTCTGCCAGCTGCTCCAGGTCTCTCAGATTGGAAAGATGTATTTTCCTAACTGCTCTTTTGAGATCTCTTTACAGATGCTCTATGGGATTGAGATCTGGCCTCATTGCTGGCCAGTTCACTACTTTCCAGCACTCTGTATTAATCCATTTCTGAGTGTTTTTGACGTGTGCTTTGGGTCATTGTCATGCTGACCCATGAGACCCAACTTTCTGACACTGGGCCCTAGGTTGCACCCCAGAATTCTTTCCTCTATCATGTATGACTAAAGGCCTTTCTTTTTCTGAAAACAGTAGAATGATGGGATGTACAAAAGCTGTAATTCTAGCACATTCTTTCAAAAGGATTTTGGGTTCCTCGGGTAAGTTTTGGCAAACTCCAATCTGAATTTTCATGTTTCTGTGTCAGTATTGGGGGTCCTTCTGGGTCTCCTACCATAGCATCCCTTTTCATTCTGTTTCAGACGTTGAGTGCAGGCTGACATAGTTGTGCCCTGTGCCTGAAGGTCAGCTTGAATTTGTGTGAAAGTTGATCGAGGTTCTTTATCCACCATTCAAACAATCCTTTGTTGCAATCTTTGATCAAGTTTTTCTCTTTCGTCCACATCCATGGAGATTAGCTACAGCGCCATGGGCTATAAACGTCTTGACAATGTTGCGCACAGTGGACACAGAAACATTAAGATTTGTTAAGTGATACAGGTGAGTTTATTTACAAATTACAGGAGCATCACAAACTTGGAATGCAATTATTTCTTACAATTTTGAGAAGATGCCAAAAATTTTGTTTAGTCAGTTTTTGGGGTTTTGTGTGGAATGTGTCAGTTTTGGCTTTTTGTTTCTCTGCTTTTTTGTGTCATACCAATACAAAAAAAAGAAATAAACATGAGAATGTCTAAACATTTGTAATTGCAACCATTTTCAGGGTGAAGTGGTACATTATTTGACAGAGATGCAGAGGTGCCAATATTGTTGGCCATGACTGTATATATATACAGTTGCAAGAAAAAGTATGTGAACCCCTTGGGATTACGTGGAGTTTTGCATGAATTGGGCATAAAATGTGCTCTGAACGTCATCTAAGTCACAACAATAGAAGAACACAGTCTGCTGAACATAATACTACACAAACATTAGATGTTGCCATGGTTTAATTGCACATAACATGTAAACATTCACAGTGCAGAGAGGAAAAAGTATGTGAGGCCCTAGCTTAATGACTTCTCCCAGAGCTAATTGGAGCCAGGAGTGAGCCAACCTTGACTAAAAATAGTGTGATGATATTGGATGTGTTGCTGACAGCTGTCCTGCCCTTAAAAAACACACACCTGTTTTGGGTTTACTGGTTTCAAGAAGCACTGTCTGATGTGAACCATGCCTCACAGAAAAGAGCTCTCAGAAGACCTACGATCAAGAATTGTTGACTTGCAAGAAACTGGAAAGGGTTACAAAAGTATCTCCAAAAGCCTTGATGTTCATGTGTCCACGGTAAGACAGACTGTCTACAAATGGAGAAAGTTTAGCACTGTTGCTACTCTCCCTAGGCGTGGTCGTCCTGTAAAAATGACTGCAAGAGCACAGTGCAGAATGCTGCATGAGGTAAAGAAGAATCCCAGAGTGTCAGCTAAAGACCTACAGAAATCTCTGGCACATGCTAACATTTTTGTTGACACATCTACAATAAGGAAAACACTAAACAAGAATGGAGTACATGGGAGGACACCACGGAGGAAGCCATTGCTGTCCAAAAAGAATATTGCAGCACGTTTGAAGTTTGCAAAAGAGCACCTGGATGTTTCACAGCACTACTGGCAAAATATACTGTGGACAGATGAAACCAAGATTGAGTTGTTTGGGAAGAACACACAACACTATGTGTGGAGAAAAAAAGGCACAGCACACCAACATCAAAACCTCATCCCCACTGTAAAACACGGTGGAGGGAGCATCATGGTTTGGGGCTGCTTTGCTGCCTCAGGGCCTGGACGAATTGTTGTCATTGATGGGAAAATGAATTCCAGAGTTTATCAAGACATTTTGCAGGAAAACGTACGACCATCTGTCCGCCAACTGAAGCTCTGCAGAGGATGGGTGATGCAACAGGACAATGACCCAAAGCATACAAGTAATTCAACAAAACAATGGCTGCAGCAGCACAGAATACGCCTTCTGGAGTGGCCCAGTCAGAGTCCTGACCGCAACCCGATGGAAATGCTGTGGCATGACCTTAAGAGAGCGATTCACACCAGACATCCCAAGAATATTGCTACACTGAAACAGTTTTGTGAAGAGGAGTGGTCCAAAATTACTCCAGATCGTTGTGCAGGTCTGATCTGCAACTACAGGAAAAACGTTTGGTTGAGGTTATTGCTGCCAAAGGAGGGTCAACCAGTTATTAAGTCCAAAGGTTCACATACTTTTTCCTCCCTGCACTGTGAATGTTTACATGTTATCTGCAATTAAACCATGGCAACATCTAATGTTTGTGTAGTATTATGTTCAGCAGACTGTGTTCTTCTATTGTTGTGACTTAGATGACGTTCAGAGCACATTTTATGCCCAATTCATGCAAAACTCCACGTAATCCCAAGGGGTTCACATACTTTTTCTTGCAACTGTATATATATATATATATATATATATATATATATATATATATATATATATATATATATATATATATATATATATATGCAATATATACTGTGTATATATCATATAGTGATATATACAGAGTGCACTCTGAGACGTTTATTGACAATTGATTGCAGTGGAGCTACTGTAGGGATATTACTGTGGGATTGTTACTAATACTGTTTATTGCTGATACTCAAAGAAATGTGCATGACTGAAAAAATATTCAAACTCAAAGCAGAGATGTGCGTATAAAATATTTATGTGACCAAAACAAATATTCCATAAATTCAGTGCATCAGACCTCCAGGTGGAACATTGTAACTGTTAGTTAAAAGAGAGTAATAATTCAACAAATACCAACAATTAATACAGTCCACAACTACAAGTCCATCGTGATACTCCATGTCCAAAAAAAAGAGAATCCTCCAATGATCCCCAAATGGTGCTTAGCTTCCACCACCTCTCAGACAGACATTCACTGTCACAACATGCCTTTCTAATCAAAGGTGGGCATGTAAAGCTCAGAATAGAGACTGTTCACTGCTGTAGAATCCCCTTCATGGGTTATTGGTTCTCTCTATTCTCCTCCAAATATTCACTCTTTTAACTAACAGTTACACTGTTGCATGTGGTGGTTTGATGCACTGATTTCCACAGGATACTTATTTTGGTCACTTGGTTAAATATTTTTATATTTACCTCGCTGCATTGCAGATACTGTTCATTTCTAATACTGTTCCTTGTTGGGTTATCTTACTTAGTGGTATAGTGATTAAGACTGAGCTGCTATTATCTAGTATCTCATCATCCGGAAGTTCACACAATGTAAACAAAAGATCATTTAGCATAATACTGTATAAAAAAAAAATCTCTTTTATTAAAGACTCTAGATTAAATAAACTCACAAAATACATGCACATAATACTGGTGCATTTGGTATAAAATCACTCCTATGCAAATCCAGAGTGTACTCTTTGCTCGGAACCTCCACAAACTCTACTTGTTTACATAATCACTTGTATCCAGGCTCAATCCAACGGGTTACATCATTGAGCATTGTCGATGAAAGAAGCAATGAAGGCCAAAAACTTCCTTGAAACTTTTTCATCTTTAGGTTAGTCTGATTGTATCTACTTTCCATAGCCTTTACCACTGTCCTCATAACCATTAAGGGGCATTCCAAGTGTTTGAAGGTTAACTAGATGGTAAATTTGCCTAAAAAGATTAAATCAAAAGTGCACTTCCAGTAAGTTGTTTTATATTATATGACAACCACATTTTTAGCTTTAAAGCTGACAGTGAATTTGTGTTTATAGTTTATTAGGGTCACCGTCATCTTTTAATTTGGTATTTTGCTTTATTTATTGCACTGTGATGCAGTACTTAGGTATTGCAGAAAAGTTAAGCATATTTTAATGTCAAACTCTTTCTGGCATAAACATAGAAAAAAAAATAGTTGTGTAGATTTCACTCATTCC